GGTATCACATCATACAAAAGAAATCATGCGCACTTGCTTTTCAATTACACAAACGTTCGGTAAAATTTGCAGACCCGATATTGTTGTGTTTATCACATCGATCTAGATAATGCAGTACTAGTCATTACGCGGTACACTTGGGGACTTCAAAAGGGGTTTTCGTCTTTAGTATTTGCCGAACATTATTTAGAAATCCTGTACCAAACTCGCTGAAAAAAGTGATCAAAATAAAGCCATCTTGTTTCTTCTGTTGACGATGGTTCGCTGAATTTCGCGATCGTCTTATATGGTTGAAACTGTGCATGTTCCATTATTTACAGCCTGGAGAGTGTCCTTCTCTCTTGTAGGGAAGCGTACGTGTAAGGGTCACAACACCACACATACGTCACAACACCACACACGAAACTCACAACACTACAGACAAATCTCACAATACCAAACGAGCTCACAACACCACACAAACCTCACATCACCAAACGAGCTCACAACACCACACAAAACTCACAACACCACATACTGAACAACACCAAACGAGCTCAGAACAACACACAAAACTCACAACACAAAACACAAAATCACAACACCAAACAAACTCACAACACCAAACTCACAACAAGAACAGGGGGCATTTTAAACTCAGAGGCTAGTAGCAAACCTGAGTATCATATGAATAATGTTTACACCGGGTGCCCATTCAAAATTGACCCACTTCAGAGGTCATTAAAGAATAATCAGTCAATTGTAAAGGTTGCAAATTAAAGAGTAGTGGCAATTCTAACCCTTCAAGAGAAAACAATCTATTTTTTATTTTAATCAGATCGTGTTTTTCAGAAGCAAGACAGACAGTCATGCCAAGCAGTCAAAGGAAACATATTTCCATATTTTCTATATCATATTTTAGTTTTAGACCTGGGAATTGTTTTCTACCCCGCTAATGTAAAGAAAATCTTAGATTGTCTGTTTAACATTAAAAATATATATGGATTTTCTCTTTTTTAAAATGTGCAGTGCTGCATTGACTTAACTAAAAATTATGAATGATCAGTTCCAGTTCAATCGATTATTTTAACAGTATCTAAATCCTTTCTTTTTGAGCCTTTCCTTTGTGATAATTATATTTTACATATCGCTTCTGGGTGTTAAATCGTTTGAGCCATGTTTATAGTTTACAACATCTGCAGTTGAGACTGATGCCTGAATATCATATGACCGGCGTTATTCGCCAGGACTTTAAGGAAAACGTGTTTTAAATAGTTGGCGATCCTCAAATGTAGCTAGGATTGCTGATTGCTGTTTAGGAATAGATTCAGAAAATGACATTGAACTCTTTGTTCTTCGTTATTTCTTCAAGGACCGTACCTTACATAATTGGTGCATGAGCCAGTATGTCGGTCGTCCTTCCACTAGACTGCAAACTCGTACTAACTGGACTATTACCACGCAGTATCATAGCACCTGTCACACCCAACTCACCGAGAATTGCTTCAAAAGCACCCCGGCCGTCACCCTTGTGTTACACAAGCTATATGCGCTCTTGTAGAATTTATAATATTGTGTACAGGGTGTATTTTTTTACCAAATCCCCACGTAAACTAGATGTAAACAGTGGAGTCGTGTCACCGCAACTAATATTCTCTAACCAAATTGGGCTCATGACCTGAAATTTACTAGTACCAAGGCACACCCTAAACACCTTGAGTTTCTGAATTTTAATCTTAAAATTCAGACGTAATTTTAAGTCTCCTTCACCTCAGTAGTAGACTGGAATATAGAAAACTAGGGCCTGTTTCACAAAAAAATTTTTATCAAGAGTCGGTCTTTACTTTAATGTTAATTAACGAGTTTTCTTTACTCAGCACATATTCTATCTTGTAGAAAGTAAATGGTCTAACGATGTTTTTAAAATATATTTAACCTACGGTAGGCCTACTTGTAAGGTTTAGTTTACTTTTGTTGAGATTGAGGAGCCTGGTGTCCGGCTCATCTAATGCAATGAACATTCTTTTGCATAAATGATAACTTTTCATTCAGGGTGGTGCCCCATGAGTTTGCGCTTTATTTCATTCAGCACAGTGTCTCCGTAGGAGGAACACATGGTATATTCTTTCTTTTTGATTAGTTATTTTCACTTTTGCTACTTGCAATTTATAATTGAAGGAATGTCAAGAATGGTGAGTTTTTAATACTGTTTATTGATCATTATTGACTATTGATAATTATTGAAATTTATCAGTTTTTGTGTAAGTAAACTGAAGCATGTAAATAACCGATAGTGAGGGCATTATTGTAATTTTCTTTTTCTATTCTTCTTTTTAGTTTTTACGTGTCTTGTGAATTCCTGCGTGAAATAAAATCAAGGTCCAGTGAACAACTTATGTTTTTCCATGACTTTTAATTTATCTGTATAGCCCTTGTGTGCTATACTACTAGAACGACGATCGGAGTCAAAAAGATTCTTTCTTCTATTTTATAGAGTACACCAAAGCTTTCAACAAGATGAGACACGAAGAAATGATGAAACAACTGAAATGAATGAATATGGATGAGAAAAATAAGAAATAATGAGGAACTTGCACTGTACTGAATTAAAACAACGTGGTGATTTCAGAAAAATAAGGAGAGGTGTAAGACATATAACAGCAATATTAATAATTATCAACAACCACAACAATGATTATCATCATCATTATTATTATTATATCGAAGCTTTATTTGACATCTTTTATTGGGAAGGTAATTTCATATGAAGCAAAGTATATATGTATATCGTTTTTCTTTAAATCCCACTTCTCCTGTATATTGCTAAGATCCTTCATTAGCATTTTAAAGAAAAGTGTTTTTTTTTCTATTTTACATGTTCAGCAAATCTATTAACTGAATCTAATAATCAACCGAGACGTTCTCATATTACAGTACAAAACAATCCTTCAGCTGGTTAGTAGTTGTTAATAGATTTCCAAAATATTTGCGGAAGTTCAAGATAAAATCGTAGATTTTTAGCTGTGTGAGTGCTTAAAATGGAATTAAAACAGAAAAGAAAGCCATGCCCAAAAAGTCGTTTTTAACAATAAAATAAATGCAAAAAACTGTTTACGTTATTCAGGGTTCACAGCAAATCTGCAGACTGGTCTATCAATTCTACAGGGTATTCACCTTCTTTGAACTTTTGAACAGTATACAAAAGTCTGCGAAAATACTGAAGATCAAATTTGTGATTATACATTGGAGGAGAAAAGACGCGAATTTCTTATAAAATTCATATGCTGAAATAAGATATAAGTAAAAAAAGTATAATACCATTGTACATGTATGCATTCACTTGATCATTCTGCAAATTAAGTTATTTTTATATGTCACTTTAAATGAGCTATATGCTTGTTCGAAATGTTGAATTACACATCTTTATCTGGAATGCACTTGATCAAACATCAGTACTTGGGATACTGTGCCGGATGTCCCCCTGGGTAAGGGGGTGGAGCATCAGGGGCAGCTCGTGCCATTTGTGGGTTGTGAGGAGGCTGCTGGGGGTACCCGCCTGGCTGTGGCGGTGGCGGGTAGGCGACCGGTGGCTGAGGCAGGTAAGCCGGCTGTGGCTGAGCCATGTACCCGATCCCTTGATTGATCATCTGTGGGGCTATATGTGGGGCATTGATGTTAGACATGGAGTTGGATGAATTCACGGTCACATTCACACTCGGCGTACCTGGAAAAGAGAAAAAAGGATATTTGGATAATAATTTACCTGGGACTTCTGTACGAAAAATGTATATAAAAGTTGAATGATAATCAAACTGTACAATGAAATTAAATACTTTATGCCTCAACTCAGATGAACCTGCATCTAACTTAAGTATTAGAGCCAGTGCTAAAAATCAGGTAACGCACATGTTTCTCGTCAATTGCATTTGTAAATTAGATTATTTGCGCCAACGTTAAATTGTCGAAAAAAGGACAGCACTATATATGTGTCTTCTTTAAAACTGCTTTAAGAAATGCTTCTCTGTTTGTCTGACTAGAGCGTATTTTTATGTTCGCCTGTCTGTCTGCCTATTTGATTGATTGAATACCTTGGTAGATTGTTATGATGTGTGAAAATGCAAACAGATAAAGTAATGCGCCATCTAAGCAACACAACTGTCGGGGATTAAAAAGTCTTCATCGCATTAAAGACTTAATATACCGACGAGAGGATACACGCAACAAAAGATTTTAATCAACACAAACTCTTGCAATGCAGGATTACTAGTGTAGAAGGACCACACAATTCAAATGCCCATGAAGTTAAGTTGCTTTTGAAATGTATCATCACTCATCTCATCGAAACAACGCAAGCTTAACCAATACTAGCAAATCAATCATAAGATATGTACCAAGTCAATGCTAAATTTCAAATTAAAACGGCTAAAATTGCACCTACTTGACCGTTCCCTTTCTCTGTATACCACTGTCGTGTGTCTTTCCCTCCTTTTACAGATGCATCTACATATACAGATGCAGAATATCACGGTAATGGCAGTACTGACCAGTCCGCCGATGATACCACCTACGTATGCCCCTGAAAGTACCAAAAACGTCGAACCTTAACATTAAACGATGTCGAGTCCATCGAACGCGTTTCATTGAAACATTTCGTGCACAAATTAACACAACATATAAACAAGGCAGAAAAGCTGTCAAATGTACAGACAAAAAACAGAAAATAAAGATGCAAAAAAGGTAATTTTGTCAATTTTGATGCAATAATAAATAATGCTTATGATAACACTGTCAGTCAACACTGAATTTTAATCATGCACAACAGGTAAAATGGTCAATAACATAAGCGGACCCACAGATATTTTCTGACAGTATTCCAAAGTATCTATTTTGATCCATCCTCCATTTTGATGGTCTTCTAACAGAAAAAAATAGATACCAGACAATATAAACTTAATAACCTGACTGTCTTCCGGAAAACCTAGAAGATGGTCTCAATCCACCCCTTCAATAAGATTACAGTTTCAGGACCATGAGAGTTCAAATTCACATGATGAAAGTCTCAATATTTGAAAAATGATGACAGTGCATAAAAAATATTACATAAGTAACATAATGTTTAAAGACATAAAAAACAATACAACTGCTTATGTGGAAATACAGAAATGTCAGAGCCTCGGGCAGATGAGAGTTAAAAGTCACAAATGCAAGTGTTTGAGAAAAAAATTATAAGGGAAAACATAACTAAACTAGAAAAGCGCTCCGAGAGTGCAGACCTCTGCCAAGGCAGCATTTGTTGATTATTATTGATTTTTGTCCTCTTTGGCCCACTTCTGACAATTCCTGAAAAATTCAGCAAAATCGGTCCATAACTTTTTGAGTTATGTTGATGACAGACAAACAGGGGTGAAAATATAACCTCCTTGGCAGAGGTAAATATAATTCCAATGAAGCTGCTATTCAAACTTTTAATCTTTGAGTTTGATATATATATATATATATATATATATATATATATATATATATATATATATATATTAAAAACTTATTTGCAATATTAAACAAAATTTACCTGCATAATTATCACTGCTTCCTTATTATTAATCTAGAAGAGAGCTTAACCTTTGGGAGTTTACAGGGAAATATCAACAAGTGTGCTTTATGTAATTTCATTTAATGGCCTATTAAATAGGCCAAAATGACTTTATAACACTGAAAGAAGCTAAGTGATACCAAAGGGAAATTTACAGACTTATGGGCCTTCAAAGGTCTTTCAGGCCCATAAGTCACAACTTAAGAAAAGCACAAAACTATAATGCACAAAATAGGAGACTACCAATTCTGAAATCAAAAATAACAATAATACATTATGTTTAACTGCACAGTCAACATCAAATTTTAATTTTGCACAACAGGTAACACCGACGAAAGTAAAAGCATAAGGCTTCAGACCCATCAGAGTTCAAGTTTATACTTAGAAAGTGCCAGAATGAGAAAAATGATAATTTCACACAAAATTGCATAAAATCCAATAATAAATGATAAACCAATTGACCTGGCTTTCTAATTTGAACTGCATGCCAATCCTAAAAATCATACTTATAAGTGAAAAATATAATAATAAGTAACACAGTTTTCTTTTCATAATGTTTGCAGTAGCAGTGCAAAAAGATTATTGTCAATTTTGATGTAACATTACATAATAAATTATACAATAATTATCACCAATTTTTGATTATTGACTATAAATAGCATCGACATGTAGAAAATTTGATTACCATTCGGCTACATGTCCATGGGAGCTCAGAGTCCCACAATGAATATGCCAAAAAGATAATGAATATTTCACTAAAATGTCACGCCTACCCAACAACCAGACTCGGCACCTAAGGATCCTGAATTAACCGGTATATCGGACCACACTACCCGTTTTCAAGGTGTGTGACAGATCGCATTTCGGAGTATCAGCCAGAACACTGACAGGATGAGCCCTGGCAATCTCGGCTGTCACCTTGATTGAATAGTAAACGATTGTCGTAAAATCGCTATATGATTTTAAAACCGGGTGCATAAATTTGAAAGCCACCTAGATGAACCTTAGACTGCCACATTAATCTAATGCAAAGCAAAAAACCCTATCAAAAGTGGTTAAAACATTCAAACCAAATGTCATAAAGTCTCCATATATCCCCATAGAGACAATAAAATAGAGTACTCTAAAGTAAGAGTACAGTTTAAGGTTGTTCAGCCGACCTTGGATGAGCCCGCAGTCGTGCTACAAAATTTGTTCTGGGGTATGATACTCCGAAATGCGATCTGACACACACCTTGAAAACGGGTAGCGTGGTCCAATATACTGGTTAATTCAGGATCCTTAGGTGCCGAGTCTGGTAGTTGGGAAGGCCTGAATATATAACTTCCAGAAAAAGAAGCCAATTAGACTGCTTTTCCAACTCGGACTGCATTTTAGTCCTGTGTTTCTTTTTTGAAAGTCTGACAATCGTAAGAACCCGGTTTTCCCATAATGGTCATCATGGCAGCAGCACCAAAAATTGTGTTTTCTTCTATTTTGATGCAACATAACATAATGCTTAACGGCATAGTGACCATCAATTTTTAATAATCAAATATACGTGTCATGGATTTTCAGAAAATGTGACTAGCATGGGTCTTCAAGCCCGAGGATGTTCTAAGTCGCACCTTGAAAATGCCAGAAAGTGAAAAATTAAATTTTCACAAAAAAACTGTTAAATTNTAATTAAAGTAATACTTTTTTATTTTAGGTGGCTGCCAAGATGGATGAAAAGTGACAGGATATGACTGTCAAGCAATGCTGATATATTGAAAATGCTTTTCTATAAGATGGGAAAAGCTATAAAATATGACACCCGTCAGTATTACAAAGGAAATATTGTTGTCCTTGTCAAGATGGCATTGTTAATAAATGTTGATTCTGTTATTTTTTTCCTTCATGTAATAGATATAGAGAGGGAATTAAATATTAAATGTGTTACCTAAAATTCTAAGAATTAATAATGTAATTGGCTATATGAATGCAAAGACTTTCTTTTTGTTTACTATCAATACGCAAAAGCCAGTATCTCAAGGACTTGTTTATGAACAGAAGTTTTATGTTAATTTATAATAATACCTCAAACTTATAATGATGGGCAGGAAGGGGGGAGACTGCTGTTTTCCTCCAGAGAATAAAAAAAATCAAATTTTCAATTTTTTATTTAATAATTTTTTTGAAAAAAATGTTCTTGTTACTCACAGTAGTAAATTCCACAAAAAATAACAGATAAATGAGAACACCAGCTACACAGCTTTCTTAAAATCATATGAAGGCTGGTTTTGCCCTGCCATTGTTCTTTACTGCTTTGGTGCATGTCTTTTTAACAGTTAAGTAGAAAAATAACAAAAACTGATTCCCAGGATCTGTAAGATGATCCTTAATGATGCTCGAGATTCCACACCTGCTGCAGATTTTTATTTTTTCAAATTGGGCCTCTCATCTCTGTGCCATGGGGAAATGTGTCCAGTTTTGGCCTAAATGATCTCATTGGAGAAATGTGTTCTGTTGATGCACACTGCAGAAGACTTCAAGCTTGGTTCTGTACATATAGCTGGAACCAGAAAATACAATAAACAGCTGTGATAGTTTTCAGAAATGTTTAAAATCTTAATGGAAGAATTTGAATGCCCAGGAAGAATATTTCATTATGGAAATGAATTCTACAGTTTATTTGTCGTACACCCTAAGCATGCCAGAAGTTATATCGCAGTTATTTACTTATTTGTTATTTTCAGTTAAAAGTGTGCTCCTGTAAACTTACCAACATCTAAACATTCACAATTTGTAACAAAGCAGCTGATAAATCTGGAGAACAGCTGAGACCTCCAAGAAGACCAAACCACAGACGTGATCCCATGTATCAGCAAGGCACCCGACATTCTGAAATGAGATTTCAAAAATTTCTTTAAGACCCAAAATTAAGTTCTGCCCCTGCCCCACTGGTGAGTTTCAACATGTGTTACTTGACATGTTAAATTTTGTAACATGTTTACATATCTGATAGAAATATTACAATAAACACTTTAATACAGTTCAATTTTAATAAATAAAGTTAAAGAACTGTTACACCAGCAACATAAAAATCATGACTGTTGCTTAACAAAGGACTGGTGATCGTGATGACACCGTTTTCCTTTTGATACTTTTGGTTGCTGCACAATCTGTATGCAAGTCCTCTGCTTTTAGCTTGATGATAACTGTTGGCCATCATGTGCCAGACATGGTCTTTACTGTTGTCTGCTTATCACAGCTGTATTGGTGATTGAAGGTCACATGAAAATCTGCTGTAATCTATCAAAATTTCTGATCAGTCTTTGATGGGTTCCCACTGCGATGTTTGTCCAACTGCCATCTGCTTCAAGTAGACCTTCTGTACTTGATATCGCCTGTTGGGACATGGACGGACACCACAATAACACGAAACATTGTCAACTGTGAACTTGCTTATGATATTGCATCATTGGTATTAGTAAGCTTTTCTCTTTGCTTTGCATCATCAGTTATCGCAAGGCACAGTGACAAGGAACAATACATAACATTAAACACAGACAATTTCACAACACAACACACAAAACATTTGGTAAAGCTTTTCCCAAGATTTTGGGGGTTGTATGGGCTGTTTCCCATACTTGTCCATCTTTATTGTTGATTATTTTAGCTTTGTACGATAATTCTTTTCTTCTTTTTCAAATTCTTTAACGCATAATTGCTTCTTTTTTTTAAACATGCGTTTTGAATTTTTCTCTTTTTCTTTTTTCCCAGTGTACAAAGCTTTTTTGAAGTTTGCTGAAAACCCATGCTTTGTTAACAAAGCATATACAACAATTCAATAAATCTTACAAGCATAATCATATGACAAAAGCAAATTGAGTAAACTGTCCAACTTACAGTTAACAATTCGTACTACAAAACTTTTCTAACGTCATCATTATAGCACCACAGACTGATTATCATCATAACAATCCCTATGTCACAATTTCAACCTAGTTTCTGAATATGCAGGCTATTTAAAGTTAAAATTTACATTCTACAATGTTTCTTTAATACGTGTTTAATTTATCAAAATTTTCAAATTATTTTTACTGTATCATACAACTTACATACAACTGAATAATCTAATGTTTAGTCTCCACTTCAATGTATATTTTTGACTTGGTGCATGATGACAGGAGCACATATACAGTATAGTACATATATACAAATACTTAAAGTTGCCATTGTGGACATTCCACAAATTGGACACTACTAGACTATCAACTGAACCAAAAAACTTTTTTCATAATACAGACCTTTCTTTTGCATGTCGCAAACACTAAAAGAAGACTGTGACTACCCACACAGTTGACACAGCCTGTGTAAACTGCCAATTAAACTAATCCATGAAATGGAATTTCCTTACATGAACAGACAGCTGCCCTGTTTTTCTTATGGTAGGATGAAAACCGGCTCATTTTCAAATAAAGTTTCATGCTAAATACAAGTCTTTGATGTGCAAAAAATGTGAAAACCTAAATACAGTTACTCCAATCTCTGTAACCATGGAATAGTTATCAAATCTCAATACCATGACTACCACATCATAACATATCATAACTCCTAGAGTCCATTACAGGGGGGAATCACCGCCTCCATGACTTGTCTTCTTCATCATCATCATCTTCCTCATCATCAGCCCCAAGCAGAATATCTTCATCTAGTTCATCCAACTGAAATAACAGACAGCACCAATAAAGTGAACTTTTGACAGCTATGAAAGTATTAAAAAAATAACATTCACAGTAATTACATTTGGAATATTCAACAGACAAACACAACTAATCAACTGTTGCCGTGGTCTGGACTGCATCCCATGAAAGGTCTCCAACAGTTTTTAGCAAACCTGCTAATTATTTGAAAGAAAAAGAATCACTTGTTATTCTTTTTTCATTCAAAAGAAATTGTTAAAATGTGATATTCCAACACACACCAAAAGTTTTCATCATTATGATCATTTCCTACTTACCTCCTCCTCATCTTCTTCCTCTCCCTCTGGGACAACCACTGGTGCATTTGTGGACTCTTCCCCCTCCTCCTCCTCACCACCTTCTCCTGGAAGGTTGGCAGTGATCGAGGTACGCCGGGCTGTGGCGCGGGTTACCATCACCCCTTCCCCTGACTCTTGACCCTTCTCTGGACTCTTCTGTTGGTACCATGACATTGAGAGGCTTTTCTCCTTGAATTTCTGACCCTCCCTTGCAGCCTAGAAAATAAGATAACACGTGGTTACTGTAACAATTTTGGTTGAATACATCCACCATTAGCTGCTGATCCATGTCTTAGATCTTATCAGGGTCCTGTTACTCGAAAGCATCGCGACCGAGGGCAAGCGTCTCGATTCCATAACTCGCCCCGTATAATACACTGTAGCTTCTATGTGACATCGCTATTCGCAATACACGATGCTTTCAAGTTATGGAGCCCAGATCATAAATTTGTACAGAATATGAGAAAATAAGAGTTACTTAAAACAGAAATAAGCCTAGAGTGTAATTTTTTTTTTGTTTTGTATAAATTTTTCCTTTTCCAATTTAAAATTATCCCATACAAACCTGAAATAATATTAGAAAGAAAATAGCAGGTCTAAAAAGTGTACAGACTTACTGTTTCTGCTTCCTGTCTTGTTTTGAATGTGAGTATAACATTTGGTTCACTTTCATCACAGTCTATCTTCTCAATCTCTCCGTAATTCTGAAAGATTAAATTGTAATTATTATATTCAAATAATATATACAATACCTTTTTGCCATGCATGTGCATATAGTTTCACCAAATAAAACATCATATATAAGATATTTATTCTTTTATCACAAAACTGAATATCTTAGTAAAACTTTAAGGCAATCATACATACAAGCCAAAGCCCACTAACCTGGAATTGTGAGATCACTTCATCCTTTTCATTTAAACTGAACCCTCTCACTAACAACTGTCTTGGACGGCGGTCTACAGATCTGGCTGCCATAGTAACACCACCTCTTCCTCTGCCTCTCCCACGCCCCCTGGGGGCAGCTCCACCACGCCCTCTTCCTCGGCCACGGCGAGCTTCTACAATACCAAGCGCTGCTGCCTGGAGGGGAATGCATCAACTTATTAGTAATATAGATATAGACTTTATATAAGCTAAAAATTAACCTTGAGCTACAAATCATGGGCACATTCTTTATCTTAAAACAAATATCTCCCCAATTCCTGGAAAAATCAGGTTTCTGACATAAATCTGTAACAGAAAACTTAAAAACATATAGAAAAGCTAAAATTATTAGTTTATTTCTAATCAATCCAATATGTGAGTAATATGGTTTTTCTTTTCTTGTACATAATACATTGGGTTATTATATGCCAAATGATAAAAATAGATAACACTAATTAAATCTTAGCATCATCAATAACTAATTTAAAAGAAGACAGGAGTACCTCTCGTTTGAGTTCCATGATTTTCTTCCTGAGGTCTGAGGTGTCCCCACCACTGGTTTCTTTGGTCATAAGTTCTAATTCTGTGTCCAGGAGCTCCTTCTGGGCCTAAAGTACAATAAACACAGGATACAGCTGATCATGTGATTCAGGAGATTTTTTCATGTTACCTTTGGTGAAGTGACCTAGACTGGAACTATTGGGCCAATGAAAATGTTTACATGAAATATTACTTAAGTTCCCAATGTAACATGAATTGACATTCTAGAGAGGACATGAAACTGATATGTGAGGATGTTGGTGGGAAAGCAAACATGACTATTACGTGAATTCTAAGTAAAGTCTACCTCCTGTTTTGATTTATGATGAAATTCCACTCCTCCTCCTCCTGTGGTTCCTCCAACATTAGGGGAGGCAGTGATCTCCAACTTCAGTTTATCTATACTAGCTGCCAATGTCTTTATTGTCTAAAAATAAGAGACTTCATGAGTAAAACATTTTACATTATTTGAGTCAACAAATTGTAACATTCATAACTCATGTGCTCAAGCAGTTACCATTATGTTATTCACATGTGTTTCACTTTATGTTCAGATTATATTTTTAACAATTATAGAAAAAATAACAGTTTCGGTGATATAATAGATAACGATGAAGTTCTACTTCTCTTCACTACTTTTTGTCAGGCAGGTAGGACTGCCGTTATCAAATGTTCATAAGAGATGCTTACTTTCACAATTACAGCCTTCTCCTCTGGACTAGTCCCCTTATTCTTATCAAGCTTTTGAATCAGCAACTGCAAAATTATAATAAGATTTATCTATAGCATAGGGGAAATAGTGGAAGAAACAAAATTTTATCTTTTTAACATGCAGTAGAAGACATTACCTCTCAATATACAAAGTATCTACTATTTTAATGTTTTCAGTAATCAAACAAGCTATTAGCTTTTTTCGATCCATACATGCAGTTCAAAACAAACAACAACCTTAATCACAATTACCTTTTGTTGTTCTAGCTGTTTTTGTAACAAAGTTTGTTTCTGCTTTTGGATTTCTAGTCTCTTCTTTATGACATCCTAAAATATTGGAAAATGATATGACTTATTTAAAGCTTTAGAAAATTTAGTGATCATGGAACTTTAAAGTCACACCTTGAAAATGCCAATATGTGAAAAATTTAATTTTCACATATTTAACTGCCAAAAAAAAAAAAATAAATAAATAAAAATACCAAACAGACTGCATTGCCTACTGAAGCTGTATTTTAGTCCCATGTTTCTATCCTGTAAGTTTGAGAACAGTAAGTGACATGATTTTCCTTAAATGGTCATCATGGAAGCAGTGCCCAAAATAGGGGTTTCTTCAAATTTTGATGCAATATTACATAATGTTTAACAGCTTAATGACCATCAATTTTTAATTATAAAATATTTGTTTCACAGATATTCAGAAAATGTGACTAGCAAAGGTCTTCAGGCCCATGGAACTTCAAAGTCACATCTTGAAAATGCCAAAATGTAAACAAGACAGCACTGTTCTGAAATTAGTTTATTTCCATTTTTAACACCTTTTTAACATAAAACAAAATAAACATTTTACTGCCATTTTTATATGACCAACTAAGAAAATTGATGAGATGGGAAAAGTATCAATAGAACAGTGTTAAATGTCCAATTTCCTCCATTCGGAGATTCTGAACATAGTGGATGATTGAATCTGACAAACTGCAATAATATGAGTTTATTTCCATTTTTGACACTTCATTACATAATACATGATAACAAGTTTACCATCATTTTTACATAATCAACCAACAATGTTGTAAAGATGCAGGAAATGTCAAACGAAAACTTTTACGTATCGTATTAGTTCAATAATGAGACTGTTAACATGCCTAAGAATTGAATCTGAGGAAATGTGAAAAACAGTATAACTTCTAAATGGCCTGATTATGCTGATTTTCGAAATGAACCTACATTTTAGTAAGATTGACCACTCCTGTGAGTATAATGACAATTGGCCATTTTTCTTATATTGTGGTATTAATGTTGCATATATGTTGAAAAAAGTTAAAAAACAGCATAACTTCCCTAAAAATGGCCGGATCATGCTGATTTTCGAACTTGACCTGCGTATTATGAATATTCATCAGTTGGGAAGTTTCATACCAAAAGAAAAAACATTTTTCCACTTATCGTGTTATCGGTGCTGCATATATGCTGAAAAAAAAAGTGAAAAAACAGCATAACTTCCCTACAAGTCACCCGATCATGCTGATTTTCGAACTTGACCTGCGTATTATGAATATTCATCAATTCTGTAAGTTTCAAGCTGAAATAAAAAACAGTTTTCCACTTATCGTGTTATCGGTAAAAGTGCACGGCGACGACGGCGACGACGGCGACGACAGACGCAGATGATGGCTATATGTACAGACACGTGTGTCTGTACATAACAACTATATAATAAATAACATATAAAAAACAATATATATAACATTGGTGATGAGCAGAAGGAAATCATTAGAGACAAGTAAGATGAGTGTCATGATTTCACAATATATAAATTTGATCATGTAGAAATAATGTTGTTCGTTTACACTAAATGAAATGTTTACGGCACTGAAAATAAGCTATTTAATATAATTTGGGGACTCAAAATGACAATAGCAGAAACGCTATTTTTTAAAAATCTTTTTAGGCAATTAAAACTGTATTGTTTCAATTTCTTGCATGTTACAGAATGTTCCATGAACCGTTTTTATTCCCGGTTACTACAGTCGCTTTTGATAATTTTTTTAAATCATCAAAAATAAAGCCGGTTAATAAACTGTTTGCTTTCAACGGCAGCTCTGAACTCTGGGTCTTTTTTTACCTCTATGGCGTTCATATAATTTTAATTAGAATTAAAACTCAATTTCCGGTTATTGTTGTTTTCGACCTGTACCTGTGCTACTGCTACTGCTACTGCTACTGTCAACTTCGGAAACGTAGAAAGTAAAGTCATAGTCAGTACTCGAACTCGTAGTTGTCAGCTTCACAGTAAGGTATCTGGACGTGGAATAAAAGGTCGTTGTGGAATAATCTCCACAGGTCATCGCCTTCAACTGCAATAATGATTTAGCATTGGGATAAGTCTGAATTCTAGGCTGTTTTTATTTATTTATTTTAAAAGGCCCATTCCGTTATATATTCTCATGTCACCGCTGGATTTATCCCAAAAAGATTACCTAAACAAAACATAAGTATGCAGAACAACAACAGTGTATTATTTATAACTACTCTAAACATACATGTACCTCTTAGCTGAAGGGTGACAAAGAATGAAAAATTATCTTACATACTTTGATATATTTAACGTAATGTTAAACAAGGCAAGGTAGAAATGTACAGGAATCTCACCTTATTGCTGTATAATGTGCTGGAACCGTCATAGAAGGTTAAGGTTGTTTCACAATCGAAATAAGAACCGGACGTGAAGGACACTTTTACATACGTTGAACTGTAGAGAGTATCAAAATACAAGGTACACGTCCTGCTCCCCTGCAGGGAGGGTTTGCTCTGACTGTCCTTCCACGCTTTCACGGTATGGGCAGAGGAGTACACGGTCTTTTTTGTAGTACTGCAATCGTCATTACTGTCATCCATAAGGTCTTGAAATAGAGTTCAAAAGCTACATTCATTTGCTGTCATTGATATATACTTATTACCTGTACCTCAGTCCATTTTTAAAAATTTTACGTTCGAAATATATTTTCTCCAGGTGGGTAAAGCGCCAGTGGCGTTAACTATTGCAAGAAATAATAATAATAATAATAATAATAATAATAATAATAATAATAATAATAATAAATTAGCAAACCAGTCAATGATATAGAGGAGACAGAGCACTGACTTACACGTGGCACCAATGACCTCTTTCCCGTGCATTGTCATCATGCACAACACGATAAACAGGGCTGGAATTTTCTTGCTCAACATGGCTTGTTATTCTAAAAGGATGAATCAAGAAAATAACATGCAACGTCCTATAACTTGTTGCCTCTGTTTTTCTAGACCTTAGTTTATCATGAATGACAACCTATCTCGAAGGTGACGGATTTGATTAAATTTGCAGTAAAGGTCGCAAATGGGCTTAATAAAAAGGGATAAGATTATGGTGGTGACCCATTGATCAATGAATTACTTAATTCAGTCCGTTTTACTGTAAGCAATACAATGCTAAAACGTTATGGAGGGATTTTGATGAAATTTTCAGGATATGTCGGCCATAGTTAATAATGAGGTGATTTTGTATTTAATAACTAGTTAATTAATTAGCCGATCAATCAATTAATTATTAAACATTAATATTAATAAACATTAAACTAATCAATAACTTAATTGATAATTAGTTTATGAAAATAATTATAGAATTTATTCATTCAGTGATTAACTAATTGATGAATGATTAATGCTTATAAGCACTGCATGAGTCCCCTTTGCAGATGTCTTCGATTTTTGGACGCTTTTCCTACAAGTAGGTTTTGATATGTATTGGCGCTACATGTTTAAGTGCAAAGTTCACTTTCGCGATCAAACCCAACAAGTGGTCTCCAGGCCACCTTTAAGCTTGTTTATTAATTGTTAACAGGAAATATGTTTTAATCAGCATAATGTGTAATGTATTAATTATATGACTTGCCAGTCGTGTATATCTTTCTGTGATACGGCGGTTGTTGTAAAAAAGATACTGCACATGTACATCCTCCAATCCAGAGCATACTGTCCAGCATTCTAAAGTGTGCATTTGATTTATTTTACCATAGTTTTCTTATTCGTGGGTTGCACAATCAGCAACATTTTGTGAAAAAATCCTTTTAAAAGTTGAAGGGACTTTTTTATAATAATAAATATTGAGTTAATTAAATAATTAATGAACTAATTGATAAATAATATATGATTATAAGCACTGAGTTGCAAATGTTGGATGTCTTCGGATGAGGGCCATGTGTAAGATATGTGTGCCCGCTTAACATGCTTTCCCCTCTTTAAATAAATTTTATTATTATTATTATTATTATTATTATTATTCGCTCTTGGAATGCTGTTCCCAGTTTTGAATATATATTCGCTTTGGCGCTGTAGACGGAAGGTTTATAATTGCCATCAAACCCATCATATGTTTATCAATAGTTTATATACTTTAATCTGTACAATGTGTAATGTATTAATTGTGACTTGCCCATCTTGTATATCTTTCTGTGATATGAAGCTTGTTGTAAGAAGATACTGTACATCGCGAATTCTGTAGGCTGTATGTAATATGTAAGAAACCAGACCGGTGCTCACTAAGCCAAAAACAATTAAAGGTATTATAAAAGGGGATTTTGTACTCCCCAAATGCCATAAGGTTGTGTTGTTCCATGAGAAGCTTTCAGAGGGTTAGACAATGTCATAACCAAACAGGCACATGGGGAGGATTGCCTGGGTAAGTCCGACCGAAGGAAGCCACATCTAAGGAAGAAAGAACGTTAACAAACAAAAATTATCTCACACTACCTTTGCACCGTATGTAGAACGTAACTTCTCCGCAAACGATAAGAAACAATTTGTCTCCACGCACCGTGGCGTCAACTACATCCTCCAATCCAGAGCAAAGTGTACAAAATTCTAAAATGTGAATTTGACTTATTTTACTATCGTTATCTTATTCGTTGGTTACACAATCAGCAAAATTTTGTGAATAAATCGCTCTAGAAGTTGAATGGAAATTTTATAATAATATATACACTGGCGTTGTAAGTGGAAGGTTTATATTTGTGATCAAACCCGACAAGTGTCTTAAGGACACTTTAAAGATTGTTTATTAATAGTTAACAGGAGATATGCTTTAATCTGCATAATGTGTAATGTATTAATTATGACTTGCCAATCTTGTATATCTTTCTGTGATACGGCGGTTGTTGTGAAAAGATACTGTACATCGGGAATGCTATAGGTTATATGTCATATGTAAGAAATAAGACCCTTGGTCACTAAGCCAAAAACAGTTAAAGGTATTATAGAAGGGATTTTTTACCCGCCAAATGCCAGAAGGTTGGCTTATTCCATGAGAATATTTCACAGGGTTGGGCAATGTCATAATCAAACAGGTACATGGGCACGATTGCCTGGGTAAAGCCATGGACATAAATAAGTTCCTATTTAGGTCCAAGGTAATGCGGACCGAAGGAAAACACATCTAGGGAAGAAAGAACGTTAACAAACAAAAATTATCTCATACTACCTTTACACCGTACGGCACGATTGCCTGGGTAATGCCTACCGAAGGAAAACACATCTAGGGAAGAAAGAACGTTAACAAACAAAATTATCTCATACTATCTTTGCACCATATGTGGAACGCAACTACTCCGCAAACGTTACAAAAATTTTTAATTCCACGCACCGGCGCGTCAAGTACATTCTCCAATCCAGTGCATACTGTACAAAATACTAAAATGTGAATTTGATTTATTTTACTATCGTTATCTTATTTGTTGTTTGTTTTGTGAAATTTTGTGAAAAAAATCCTTTTAGAAGTTAAATGGAAATTTTATAATAATAAATACACTGGCGCTGTAAGTGGAAGGTTTATATTTGCGATCAAACCCGACAAGTGTCTTAAGGACACTTTAAAGATTGTTTATTAATAGTTAACAGGAGATATACTTTTATCTGCATAATCTGTAATGTATTAATTATGACTTGCCAATCTTGTTTATCTTTCTGTGATACGAAGGTTGTTGTAAAAGATACTGTACATCGTGAATTCTGTAGGCTGTATGTGATATGTAAGAAATCATACCCTTGCACACTAAGCTAGTTACAATTGAAGGTATTAGAAGGAATTTTCACCCGCCAAATGCCAGAAGATTGGGTTATTCCATAAGAACCTTTCACAGGGTTAGGCAATGTCATAACCAGGATTGCCTGGGTAAGGCCAACAGAAGAAAACCACACATAGGGAAGAAAGAAAGTTTACAAACAAAAGTTATCTCACACTTCCTTGAACTCAACTGCTCCCCAAACGTTACAAAACTTTTTGACTCCACGCTCCGGCGCTTCAAGTATATATCCTCCAATCCAGAGTATACCTTTAAAAATTCTAAATGTGGACTTGATTTATTTTACTACCATAATCTTGTTTGTTGGTTGCACAATCAGCACAATTTTGTGAACAAAATCCTATTGGAAGTTGAATAATAAATATTGAGTTGATTAATTAATTAACAAACTAATTGATAAATGATAGATGCTTATACAGTAAGCACTGAGTGCGTTGATGGATGTCTTCACTCTTGGAATGATGTTCCCAGTTTTTGAATGTATTCGCTTTGGCGCTGTAAGTGGAAGGTTTATATTTGCGATCAAACCCGACAAGTGTCTTAAGACCACTTTAAAGTTTGTTCATTAATAGTTAACAGGAGATATACTTACATAATGAGTAATGTATTAATTATGACTTGCCAATATTGTATATCTTTCTGTGATACGGAGGTTGTTGAAAAAAGATACTGTACATCGCGAATTCTGTAGGCTGTATGTAATATGTAAGAAACCAGACCGGTGCTCACTAAGCCAAAAACAATTAAAGGTATTATAAAAGGGGATTTTTACCCGCCAAATGTCAGAAGGTTGGGTTATTTCATAAGACACTTTCACAGGAGTAGACAATGTCATAGCCAAACAGGTACATGGGCAGGATTGCCTGGGTAAGGCCGACCGAAGGAAACACATCTAGGGAAGAAAGAACGAGGAAAGAAAGAAAGAACAAAAATTATCTCATACTACCTTTGCATTATATGTGGAACGCAACAACTCCGCAAACGTTACAGAACTTTTTAATTCCACGCACCCGCGCGTCAAGTACATTCTCCAATCCAGAGCATACTGTACAAAATACTAAAATGTGAATTTGATTTATTTTTCTTATTTGTTGGTTGCACAATCAGCAAAATTTTGTGAAAAAAATCCTTTTAGAAGTTGAATGGAAATTTTATAATAATAAATACACTGGCGCTGTAAGTGGAAGGTTTATATTTGCGATCAAACCCGACAAGTGTCTTAAGGCCACTTTAAAGATTGTTTATTAATAGTTAACGGGAGATATACTTCAATCTGCAAAATGTGTAATGTATTAATTATGACTTGCCAATCTTGTATATCTTTCTATCTTTTTATGATACGGAGGTTGTTGTGAAAACATACTGTACATCGCAAATGCTGTAGGTTATATTTCATATGTAAGGAATCAGAAGGGAATTTTTACCCGCAAAATGAAAGTTGGGTTATTCCATGAGAAACTTTCACAGGAGTAGACAATGTCATAGCCAAACAGGTACATGGGCAAGATTGCCTGGGTAAGGCCGACCGAGCGAAATCAAACCTAGAGAAGAAAGTAAACACGCCTCCTCCCTAAAAAAAAAAAAAAAAAAAAAAAAAAAACAACTGGGCAATGGTACTGTTCTAAGATGAAAGCAGGTTTAACCTTGTCAGAAGTGATAGACGCGTAAGGGTTTGGGAAACAGCTGGTAAGAAGTATCTTTCCAATTTTCCACCTCTGGACGATGGGGCGCACCCCGCATACTTCATATCATGGGTTGTATTGGTTACTTTGGTGTGAACGAGCTGGTTTTAGTCAATGGATATCTTAACGCATATACGCGTCCTAGCAATGGAGAGGAATTTTAAAGAATTTTGTCGAGAATACCTCTGCGGACAATGCCTGTCCAGTAAGGTTTCAGAATGTAAAGCCAATGGAACAGGTGGTCATTTGCAAACCAGATCCAGACCCCCCCCTCTCCCAAGGCCTGCTCAATCAGTAGATCAGAAACTCAATGACAATGTGTGGGATATCTTTGGAATAGGATTACTAATTGATAACCCTGCAAACAAAAATGATCTCATTCTACCTTTGCACTGTAGTTGGAACGACACTACTCTGCAAACGTTACAAAACATTTTGACTCCACGCAAAGACGCGTCAAGAACATCCTTCAATCCAGAACACTGTGCAAAATTCTAAAATTTTCATTTGATTTAGTTTACAATCGTTATCTTATTTGTTGGTTGCACAATCAGCAACATTTTGTAAAAAATATCCTTTTAGAAGTTGAATGTAAAATTTATATTATTAAATATCGAGTTAATTATATAAATAATAAACTAATTGATAAATAATTGATGCTGAGTTGCGTTGGCGGATATTTTCTCTCTTGGAATACTGTTTTGACTGTAAATGCAATGTTTAATATCGCGATCAAACCCATCAAGTGTCTTAAGGACACTTTAAAGCTCGTTTATTAATAGTTAACAGTAGACATACTTTAATCTGCTTAATGTGTAATGTATTAATTATAATTTGTCAATCTTGTTTATCTTTCTGTGATAAGAAGGTTGTTGTAAAAGATACTGTACAGCGCGAATATAGTGGTTTGTATGTGATATGTTAGAAAGGCAATTAAAACACTTCTTTCCCAAAATCAGACCTTTGCACATTGGGTGTAAAACAGTTCTGGGTATATAGAAGGGAATGTTAACCGCTAATTGCCAGAAGTTGGGTTGTTCCATGAGAAGCTCTCAGAGGGTTTGACAATGTCATAACCAAACAGGCACATGGGCAAGATTGCCTGGGTAAGGCCGACCGAAGTAAACCACAGATAAGGAAGAATGAACGTTAACACGCCTCCTCTTAAAACGTTTTATGATATAAAGTACGTTGAATACTTACAAGATTTAAATCAAGAATAGGGCAAACTATGTTTCTGAGTCAACCGTCAGAAGACAACTGCACAATTGCAGAGTTAATATCAAACAACGAAATAGAAAAACATTTGTATCAAATTAAGGCTAATTTTTTAAATAATATTTTACGCGTATTTAATTATAATTCTTCCTACTTTGTGTGCTGCAGAACCAAGGAGTCAGTCTTTCGGCTGGCCACATTTCGCCTTGTCAAATAAAGAATTTTTTATATTCGACAACAGGCCAGTTCCCCAGGCAACTTAGGCGTGCGGTTAGTGGGAAGATTGTTTACTGTTGATGAACAAATTCAAAGGGACAGAAATATTAGGGGTGTAGAAAATTGGAGAGGCCCTGTTTGCAAATATAGACTGAATAATATTAAAGACATGCCTACAAAATGTTTATTACTCAAACAACTGACAAGTCTTCCTGGAAAAATGCATTCCATCCATGAACAAAGCAAAAAGAAATATCAGGACCTACTATAAAGATAAAGTTCAATCGTTTTATAGTATTTATATAGCAATAACAGTTTGAAGCTTAATATATATATTACATGTACAAGTATGAGTAGTGTTTTATTTGATCTTATAGAAATTCATAAATTCATTTATTCAACTATATGTGAATTCAATCAATTCATAGCCAAAATGTACACGAAAGTTGCTTTCATTACCGAATCTTTTTGGTAAAGTAACTTTTAAAAATCATTGATGGCAAGTTTTTACACTTTTAAGTTATTAATATTAAAAAATCTCCGTATCAGAGTAGAGTGATCAAAGTAGAGTGAAGCCACCGCGCATCAAAGGTCAATTAACGCTTAGACGAACACTATTGCGACCAGAGCGCTGAAGTTAGTGTCTAGTTTCTAGTTTTCAAAAACGAACCTGGCAACCAGAAACTAGTTTCCTTTGTCAAAAACGATTCTGGCAACCAGAAACTAGTGTCGTTTTTCAAAAACGATTCTGAGAAGCCAGAATCGTATTTGTGGAGAGAAACAGGGGTGGACGGAAGGGCAGGCAAGCAGCGGTAAGCGCATACCGCGGGCTCATCCCTCTCATCCTCCATTTAGGGTGTATTCCCAGAGATTTAGATGGATCCAAGGATTAAGATTTAGATCGACCTAACTCCCTGGGGGTACGAGCTAAATTGCAGTTAGCCGAGTCAGCCGAATTACCCCCTTACAGCTTTCAGTAGGCGGGACAGATGCTTAAGCCGGCAAAGCTGACAGTAATCTAGTGAGACTCCCTACAGGGATAGATCGATCTAAAATCTATGGAAATGGGGTCTTAGAATCGATTTTTTTTAATTTAACGAACTTATTATAATTAAAATTATATTGAAATTATAATTAAAATTATATTGCAAACTTCAAAGGGAGTCCCCAGGGGCCCCTTCCTCCTCTTTACCCTCACCCTTATTCACCCACCCCCACCTCTAGCCCCACCCAAACCCCAATCCCAGCTTCCGCTATGCAGCCGCCTTTTACTGTAAGCGGCGGTCAACTCGTCCTCCCTTCGTCCTCTGCAAAACTGATTCTGACTTCTCCGAATCGTTTTTGAAAAACGACACTAGTTTCTGGTTGCCAGAATCGTTTTTGAAAAACGAAACTGGAAACTAGAAACTAGACACTAACTTCAGCGCTCTATTGCGTCCACGCTCAGCTTCGATCTTTATTTCAGCGAGCTAGGGTTAGGCTCTTTTGTAAGCAGAAAACGATAATTATCCGACGGGGCAGGGCATGGTACTATTGTTAACAGAAACCAAACAGCGCATGGATGACGATGTTATTTCTGTGGTTACCGCGCCAGGCCGTATGAACAACCCGCAGCGACCCGCAGAGTAAGTAAGGGGACTTTCTGGCCCGGTCTGTACCTCTGTGGACAATGCATATCCAGGTATGTTCCTGAATGATAATGCAACAAGTGGTTATTTGCAAAACAGATCCAGACACCTCCCTCTCCCCTGGCCAGCTCAGTCCCTAGATCAGAACCTCATTGAGAATGTGTGTCATACCCTTGGAAATGGATTACTAATGGATAACCCTGCAAGCAAATATTAACTTATACTAACTTTGCACCGTTATGTGGAACGCCATTACTCCACATACTTTTTTGATTTGGTTGCACAATCGGCAAAAGTTTGTGAAAAATTCTTTTCGAGGCTGAATAAAAAAACATTGGTTCGTGACATGATTTTCTGAATCACTTAACACAGAGGTGACGCTTTTGCTGGGAGAGTAACTCGTTTGTTTGCTCATTTATAAAAACGAAGACAGTAGTGTCGGAAATTTTATTAAAGTTCATCATTTACACTCTGAAAACGTAAGCACTACATAGTGCTGCAAGGGCCTGATGTTATTTTTAACACAGTTTGATTTCTATTTCAGATAAATGCCGCATCATCCCGTAAAACGCGATTATCTTGTAGCCTGAAATAGCGCTTCATATTTTTGTAAATAAAGGTATTGTTAGCTAGAATAATCTGTCATTTAAGAACCTAAAAATGAAGAATATATATGCATATGTGTGGTTTTGAAGTTACCTACGGACTTCATGCGCTGAAACATGGCTGCTATCTAAATGTATGGAGTGTTATTCACACCGCTCAAAGTACAAAAAAAAATAAATAAATAAATAAATAAATAAATAAATTGCCTTTACAAATTTTAAAGAACAACAACCAAAGATTTAAACTGCAATTGTACTTACATCTTATAACCTGTTGCTTGTTATGCGACTTCCTTCGGGATCCGTTGACGATTGCAATCGATTTATAAGTAGTTTCCTTTGTAAAGATTGATGGCCCAGGCACTGTTCTCGATCGATCGATCAACTTATCTGAGAGTCGGAAGTCGGTCAGAGAAGAGATAAACAGCAAAATACATGTCACGCGACAACACCTCTTCCATAAACATGTGATCTAAGTTGATTTTGGACAAAATGGATCAATGACCAAAGTGCTGGAAAATCTTTATGTTGTCTTTGCTATTGTCTTAATCTTTAATAAAATAAGGTTCATAGTAATCACGAGAATGTAAGAAAATAAAATGCAGGAAATAAAGACATCACATTTTAATACAACAATGACCACACTTATTGTTTTCAGTAGTGGCAGATTTGATTTCAGAGAAAAAAAAATCAAACCAAATTGCCCCCCTCTTGAAATTAGAATTTTGACTAGCTGAATCATAAATCTTAACCGTATCAAAAGGCGTCGTTCGCCCTCTAAAATACCAAAATAAGGGGTGGGGAGGGTCGGCTTCACATCCTTCAAATGATCCTGGAAAACATGCCCCTGTACATTTTCGGTAAATTCTGCAGATCCGTTATTGTAGCGTTTATCACATCGCTCTAATCAGTGATGACAAACCGTGGCATCTATCCCATTAACAAAATAAAAGTTATCACTTAGTACAATTTTTTTGCGATACACTTGAGGACTTCAGAAGGGATTTCCGCCTTTAGTATTTGTCGAACTTAGCTATGAAGACCTGCACCAAGCTAATTAAAAAACTACAACACAACGTGAACAGATAGAGCCATCATATCTCTTTTCTCGTCGATGATTCATCGAATTTCACTATCGTCTTAAATGGTGGACACTCGCACGCGCATATTTCGATATTTACAACCTAGGGAGTCACGCGTTATCCCTTCTTTTGGCTTAAATCGAGAGGAAGGCAATACCAATTAAGTCCCCTTTACATTGGTAGGCGTCCTTTATGCCTCTCGTAGTACATGTTTGAGAGTAAAAAATAATACTGACAACTGGCCGATATTACGCATTCATTCTGCAACCAAAGCGATGCTTGTGCCTCGTTTCTATGACCACAGCGATGCCAGAAACATGGTCGCACAAAAGAGGCCGTCCAGTGTAATTGTTTTTAAAATAAAGTGGTATAAACTATTTTCGGATTTCTTGCGGGACACAATATTATAGACGGTGAGTACTAGACTATTATCGCTGACGTCAGAAAATGTGTGATTCTGTCTTTCTTTTTTTTACTTTATTTTTACAAACCGGTACCGGTATATCTTGCCTTTCGAGTCCTTTTTTTATTAGCCATCAAGTATGGGGGAGGGGGGGTTCGGAGAGTTCCAACAAACTGCCCCTTTCTCAGGGACAAGGTAATTTATCAAGCCCGAAAATACTAAAATGTCAGAAATGAAATTATGCACCACAGCTAACAAGTGCGCTGGTGAAAATGCCCACTATATTTATTTGAAGTTAGCCAAAGTCGTTAACAGGGCAAATTACAATTTGCAAAAAATAAATAAATTACTGAATGGATAAATAATGCTAGGAATAGAAAGTAAATAAATAATAAAAAGTAGATAAAGGTATATTTTTTTTAGAAATAAACCCCAGTCTTCCATCTAATCTCTCCAAGAAACCGAAAAAAGAAAAATGATTAATGTGTTTTTAAAGCCTATTCAGTGCCTCCAAGCCTGCCCTATCTCCTACCAGCTTCTAGGTCTATATCATACTCTAGGGCTCGGTGATGAAACTACAGTTGACATACAAATCAGCAATAAAAACAATTATAACATTTGGAGCAACTGTACGATAATTTTTTGTTCCATTTCCAAGACAGATTCAATTTGCTACTCTGTGGAATGCTGCACAGTTTTCAACAAATTTCTTAAGGGATTCCCCCTTCAGCCTCGATCTCACTTTGCTTTGACGGGTCAAATGACGTCATCTTTCAGGTCACGTGATCAAGAACGGGGTGGGTCAAGACATAATTGACGTCCGCCATTTTGACGCAGATTGACAGTGTCTATTTCAGGTAAGGTTGTCACTCATAGGACAGCTATGACCATAAAGAATTACACAGACAACTTATTTACATTTCACGATAATTGGGCAATCGGGGCGGTACCTTGTGATGTTGCAATTAGACCGTAGAATGATAGATTATTGGGTCATGTGTTCGTTGATTGAATGGAGGAGGTGCGAGATTTCGGAGGGATTTAGGTTTGATGTGTGAACAAAGAGTGACGGATGGTTATTCAGCGTGCCATTCAGAGGGATCGACTGCTGTTCATATTGGCCGTGTGGGCTCGCTTATGAGTGAAATTCACAACATACGGTCGATTTGGTTGGCCAGGAAATGCTTTCCACACTGGAAATAGTTTCTTTGTTCTTTATATTTATCATACTGATAAATGATTGCAATAAATTTGTAGATTTGAGATACATGTTCCAGCACAACGTATGATAATGCGTTTTTCATAAATATTTTAGTAATGTAACACATGTGGTTGCTTATATACTAGCACTTAGATGCTTGTAAGTGTGTGCTATGAAAACGTTACTGTTTTACTAGTTGTAAATTGGACTCCGACTAATCACGTTGTTTGCGTTTTGCCTTCGTTGTTAATAGAAATACTGCAAGATAAAAAAAAGTGTATGTGACTCGTCTATTATGTTTAGGTCGTAATCATAATTAAGAACAGGCTATAGTTACGCCAAACGCCGTGCATAGGTTTTACAATCCGTTAGGTCTACGATATTATTGCAAACAATATATGTTCAGCAGCAGAAAATTACGAGTCCTGTTATGTACACATTTCACATTTCCTACAAAAGCTAAATAAAAACAAAGCCCTGCGTGTTCTCGACATGCTGTTAGTAACATATTACATAGCAGCCGTCAGAAATGTAGAACAGCCCGTTTATACATTTATTTTTCATCTAGGCCAAACCCCTTTGATTAGAGGGTGGGCCCGCAGCCTGTGAGTGACTTGGCCACTGATATGATGACAAAGGGCTCTACGTAGCACGTGCTTTACTGCCATATCACGGGGACTTCCCGTTGACCTTACGTGTGGGGCGTTTTGTTCCGTATCTTGCTGCTATTAAGTTGTTCATATACCCTATTTTTATCTTTGTTTTCATATATTTGATATTAAGTTTATGTGATAGATACTGCTGTTGTTGATAATAGTTATTTTCATCGGTTGTAGTATGCAGAGAGTACGGCAACTGAGATAGTGGCCAACGTGCTTATAAACGAATATTTGCTTTGGGAATAAAGGTTTGGGTAATGACAGTAATTTTTCATAAAATATAGGAATATCTTCATGTGTTTGTTTGTTGAGTTTTATTGAAACCAGACTTAGATTGACTAATTATTACGTGATTAATATGAAAATGTTTTTATTTTCTTTTTTCCTGAGAGTTGTAAAATAAAGATATAAACAGTCGTGACTGCTCGGTTTGCCCCAAGTTTTCTAAGTTTCTTAGTGTGGCTGACTGCATGCAGTTCAACTTGTTAGATGTGTGTATAAAATCATGAATTTATAAAAATAAAGCTTGATTAAATCATAGTAGATCAGTGACGCTCATTTAAAATGCCATCACAGTAACATGATTATCTGTTCTATGACCTATTCACGCTATATATACTGGTACATTTCTTTGATGGTTCATGCAGTTATTGTAGGCATTATCCGGTGCATCGAGGCACATATTAAGAAAGGTCGGGTCATATTCCATATATGGGTGTTGTTGCCATGGTGCTGGATGTCATGTGATCTAGATATATTGAGCTTTTATTCACTAGATGTCAGTCAAGTAAGATTACGGCGGGTCATATTGATCGTGTGCTGCAAGGAATAAATAATACCATGGCTCCTCCCTCCATAATAAAAGTAGGTATTACTGATCAAGACAACGGACATTTGTTCTTGTATTACATTACTGTGATTGATAGGTAGGGCGCATGGAAGGGGAATGGTGTAGTTTTTCACAAATAAAGGGGCCAAAAAGGGATGTTTTTTTTTTTAAAGATGTTTTTTTTTTCCTTTTGTTTATTTTTGAAAATGGATTTAATTGGAGTTTTGAATTGATGATATAATTTTGTCATTTTTATTTACACTTGATATTGTGTTGCACTGTTATAAGTGGTCCCATGTTATTTTGAAGCAGAAAGTATAAATTATACGATATGTGAAGCTTTTGGAATGCAACACCTTAGCTTAAAATATTAAAAATACAGGAGGTATTTTTGTGGTATATTTAATATTTTTTGCAGTTAGACCATGTCATGTCATATTAAAGTGATTTGATAACATACATTCTGACAATCTCACTTAGCGGATATAAATGTGATGTTTTGGCAGAGATAGTAATTTTATTTAATTTGTTTATAAGGAAGAGGATGTGCCATTTTATACATTTGTAGATTAAAAAAAAACAAAGAATGGCTAAGAAAAGTCGTGAAGGTCTTGTGTCAGAATATAGTCTCTTTAATTTGAAGCAAACATGGAAAGATCACTGGATTGAAAACTAAATGGTCAGAGATCAAGTTGAGATTTTCAGTTTTAATGTGGAACTTTGTGGTACTGTTGGTCTTTTATTTATTTTAATTTTTTTCAAAAATTTCAGGTGGGATATTGTTACCTGGAACAAGATTTTACTAGTAATTGCTGTTTCCAAAAGGCTTCATGATATAATATGTACCTTGCTATAATATGAATATAACCATGCCATGTAACATTTTGAAACTGAAAAATGAATAGATAATGAACACTGATTTCCTTTCCAGTTATGGCCCAGGTGGAGGTCCCTTGCCCGTAAATGATGGCCATGTCCCACCCCGCGGGTGTGGTCCCCATCCTGGCCACCCAGGGGATTCCAGTGACGGGGTACCCTGGGGTTCACCTGGTTCCAGCTGACCATGTGGCTCATGTCAGTACAGCAGCAGCAGTGGCCCAGGCACAGGGAGAGGCGGCTGCTCACAGGTGGGACTTTCTTGTGGTAAACAGCAATTGGTGCAAGGAAAAAACCTTTCATCCTACTGGTCCTTCTAGAGGCCACCTTAATGATTAGTTTTCCTGACTAATGCCTTAACAGTGGATGTTTAACTGAATAATTTTACATGATTTTGGTGGAACAGCTCCAATTTTGCTGATGTGTGTTTTGGGGTCAGTGGTTATGTTCTTCACGGACTGAACAAAGTATAATTACTAGTAAGGTGTATGTGAAAACAGTACAATGGGCAATATGTTTAAAAGTTTGTCATTTTAGTTTTATGAACATTTGAAGGTTAACATGCTCAAAGGTTTACTGGTTAATAATTCAATCTAAAGTGCACATATGTTTTAAAAATGAGATGGCAGATATGAGCTTTTTCTACAGGATCATGGTATTCAGAACTGTTTTAATTCATCCGATGGGACCTAAGGCAGCCCTGGACTCCCAGCTGATGAAGTGTTTTCTGTGTTGCTAAATGTCCTGAAAGTTTTTCATGTCTGATAATGTTAGACATAAACGGTCACCTGCTCACTTAGATTTCAGTTGCCCTCAAACATTCAGACCTCACCATTAATTACCAATAAATCTCTGAACAAGCCCAAAGTTTACGTTGTCAAACAGTTACTGCAATTTCATGGAATGTTACCCGTTGGAAGTTCTTTTTTGTAGACTATATATAATAATATATTGTTCTATATGTTTTCAGTGTGGCCCAGTTCACAGGTCAGGCCATAACATCAGTACAACTCCAAGAGGCTGAAGCTGCCTTAGAGAATGACAAGAAGGCCATCTATAAGTAAGTTCTGAAACTAAAACAGCTGTGTGTTGTGTTCATATTGTTAGATGTATATTCAAAGGCATGAAAACTGGCATATTCATTATTATATCAGGAGTGGGGGTGCATTGTCCTTGTCCATTCCCCCCTCTTCCATTTGCTGACCACACACACACACACACACACACACACACACACACACGAATGCACATACATTATAAATAGTATTTTATATATCAACATGAACATTTGAATATAAATATAATGGATCTGTCTGGAGTTCCAGAGTAACCTCCTCTCTCCCAGTGACATTAGCTCAATAGTAAAAATGGAAAATGACGGGAAATGAATTTCTTTCTATAACATAGTATATGTACAGTGCAAACAGAGGGTGTGAAAAAAATGCAAAACACTTGTCAATCTATAGAATCATTTAACTTCTAAACACTAAAAGCCAAGACCTAACAGTTTTAATAATGCTACATTTTCTGTCATTTCATCTTCTGCCCCATGCTACATGAAATTGTGAAGAATTTATGTGCTATTTTCCTCCTTCCAGGCACCCCCTGTTCCCCCTGTTAGCCTTGTTATTTGAGAAGTGTGAGAAGGCCACCCAGACCCCAGAGTGCCCCACGGCAGACGGCTTCAATGTGGACATCCAGGCCTTTGTCCAGCAGCAGGAGAGGGACAACAAGCCGTTCTTCAGTGATGACTCTGAGCTGGATAACCTGGTCAGTGTGTGTGTGTGTGTGTGTGTGTGTGTGTGTATGTGTGTGTGTGTGTGTGTGTGTGTGTGTGAGAGAGAGAGAGAGAGAGAGAGAGAGAGAGAGAGAGAGAGAGAGAATGTGAGTGAGAGGGAAAAAGTGTTTGTCCTTGTTTGGGATAGAATAGGAGTGTGTGTGTTTTATTGTGCTGATATAGAGGTGGTAAATGCCTGTTTTAAGTTAAAAGAAGTAATTATATGTATCTCAGTTCTGTAAAACAATTTTCTTTCATTGAATTGTGCCTATAACATAGCAGCAGACTCTTGATTAAGCACCAGTGTATAATTTTTTCAGAGTCTAAATATTACTGCTTAATTATATATTATAAAACCTCTTTCATATCTTTTTTACTTCCAGATGGTGAAATCTATACAAGTGTTAAGGATTCATCTACTGGAACTTGAAAAAGTAAATGAACTGTGCAAGGATTTCTGTAACAGATACATCGCCTGCCTGAAAGGAAAACTCCAGAGTGAAAACATACTAAGGACAGAGAGTTCCAGTGGGGATAGTTTAGATGATAGTTTTGACTCCCCCCACCAGGGGCTCTCTCAGGGTAGCCCTGGGGTGTCATCTGGGGTTACCACAATGGGGGGAAGCACAGTTGTGCTACAGAATGCTGGAGGTGTCCAGCAAGCCGCGGTGGCTCTAAACCCGGGACAGATAGTGTCTGGAGGAACTGTGTACCAGATGGTGCAGACACCACAGGGAATTGTGGCACAGCCGATACAGGTGAGGGTGCCCTTGTGGGCTTACACACACACACACACACACACACACACACATGTAATTACATTCATACATATGCATACATACACACACACATAAAGGCACACAAACATTCTAGCTTGTAAGCACAAATCCAGAGTCTGACAAGCATGCCAAAAAGTACACATACAAACAAGTTTTGAGTCTGTTAGTTTACTTGAAGTTTTACAGTCATCTTCTTGACAAAGTTATATACATTTCTGCTATGGCTTTGAAGCAGGTGCACTAGCTTTGACATGAGAACCTTTTTGTTTCAGATCCAGACAGCAGTACAGCCACAGGTGGCCTCTGTGATACACGGCAGTACACCGCTGTCACAGATAGGTGTCCCCACCGTCAGTACGCCAGTGTCACGCACACAAACAGGTACAGTACAGTGCTGACACTAGTGTCCTGCACATAAACTTGTATCGATGCCAGAAGCCAAATTTACATATCAAAATCTGTCCCTAAACTATTTGACCGAAATTTTAGTCTAACTTAACCTAAGATAAATCATAAGCTATTTTCTGAAATATGTCTGTTTTAAAAACAGTAGTTGTTGTAACTCATGATTGTATACTGAAGTAGAATGGATCTACATAAATACAGAAAAGGGATCTTTCAAACTATCAGCAAATTTCTGATTTTTTGGGAGCCCCCTAGACTTTGTGCCATATTTTCCAGCCTTTTCACTAATTTGCAGTCTCATACCTGTATAAACCATTCTCCTGGATCCTCATTAACAGTGTACTGTTATCATCTGGAAATTTTTGCATGTTCTGAAATATTCATTTTAATCTTTGTTTCCAGTAACTAGTCCCCACCCTTCCACGCCTTCCATGCCCTTGTCTCCGTCCGAAGATGAAGATTCAGCCAAGAAAAAAGCGAAGCGAGGCGTGCTGCCAAAACAGGCCACACAAGTGATGAAGTCTTGGCTGTTTCAGCATATAGTGGTAAGTCCATGTCTAAGTGTTTTTAGCCCAATGGTCACATAGGCACAACTTAGACTATCAGGAGCAATGTAACAGACCTCTGACCTCACGGAAATCCTAGTCAACTAAGCCTGGAAGCTGACTTCAGTTTTTTTTTTTTTTTTTTTT